TCCCTAAGGTACTTTAGACCCAAGTTGTGTATGGCAACTACATTATTTTTTATGGCCTCTTAGTATTAAAGGGCAATCTGTAGGAAATATTTGAAGAGGTACATTATACATCCATGAAGGAGAGAGCCCATTTGGTGGTGGTGCACTGGCTTTAGAATGCCCTCTGAAAGGAGAAAGACTGGCACCAACATCATATTATTTTTGTTGCCAGTTCATGATTTTTATTTGCCCAGAGTTTTTAGGCGTAATGTTTAGTTTTAGTTGGTTGAATAGTTTTGGTTTATTATCTCTGTTTTATTATGATATTTTTATTGTTTGTTTTATTCTTGCATTGATAATTTGGAATTTGTATGTATGCCACCCTGGAATTCATGCTTGGATAAAAATGCAATTTAGAAAATGTTACAATAAATAAATACATTTTGAGATACATGGAAAAATTATGTTCTTGTCTACAGAAGTACATTGAAAATTTTCTAAAATTCAACTGTAATATATGTGAAAAGGCTTGGGAATTAATTTCAAATATCATTTTAGGTTTATAGATGTATTTATTGAGATGGAATATAGTGTTTCCTCCAGCCATTGCTCAGTTCCTTTGTTGTGAATTAGAATTTAAGACTGGACTTATTTAAAGATTTTCTAGGCAGTCTTTCATTCCTCCCACAGTTCTATTCTTTGCCATATTGCCTCACCACGTCAGCACTTGTATCTCCCTCTGATGGCATCCAGTTTCCATTCCATTCACAGTGGCTAAGGATCATATCTCTGATCCACTTAGAAACACAATGATCTCTACCCCTGAGAATGCAAACGCTTTCTCAGTCAAATCTATTGATCTGCCGGGTTCTATTTCTGGCTTTCCATTCACTCAGTTGCTGTTTGGGATGCTGGATATTCTTTCTGGGGAAGAGTGAACTCGATTACTAGGAATTAGAAGAACACTTCTGAAGAACCTAAATATAGAATTTCAATGGAACATGAGCACGTGCACCTATGGACCGGGTTGTAGTCTCAGTAAACTTTGTATTACTACATTTTAACTTTAAATTTGGTGTCATGAGGAGGTAGGGAAGGTGAGTTACTTGAGACTTTATAGTTGAACTAACTGGATCATTGAGGTGCTGCATGCATGCAGAATTCAATTAATTAAATAAGACATATAACGCCAGTGTTTCCAGGGCAGGTTATAACACTCATAATAATAAACAATAATAAACAATACCAGCAACATCATACAAAATAAACCAAACTTAAGCATATAAACAACATTAAAATAGCATAACACTATAACAAAACAGTACAGCACGTTAAAAACTAAATTAGTCATAATAGCATATAAAAACAGGATAGCAGCAGTCTTATGAGCAATAAATAATAGCAGTTCAAAGGACAAGTGCTCCAAGTTGATAAACTGAATTTATCCTCACTTACTAATTATTTAATGTTTCCAATTTTACTGTCCTGCCTGTATTGGATCACTGTTGGAGTACATGATAGATAGTCCCTGTCCCCTGACTTGTCAAAGAAGCATAGATGCTTTCAAAAATGGCTAAACAGTTCCACTACAGCGAGGGTAGCCAGATGTTGTTGGGCTTCTCCTCCCACCATCGCTGACCATTGGCTACACCAGCAGAGGCTGATGGGAATTACACTTCATCAAGCTCTGGAGGGCAATACATCGACAACTCCTGCCCTACAGTCTTTTCTGGAAATAATTATGCTGCTGTGGATAATCTGTTTCCAGGATGCTTTCCCACATTCTGAATTGGAAAAAAACCTGCAGGATGTTGGGTATTGAGCAATACTGGTCCTGATATAAGGCCTTGAGCCTCCTCATCTCATATAATATTTATCCTATGTGAGCACTTCCTTCCTTATCTTTGTGATCTCATCTCAGTAGCATTCATATGTCCTTTAGTGAAGTCTGCCCTTATTCTCCCAAACCCTGTTCTTTGCGAAATACTCTTTAAGCAGGCTAAAATCCTGTAGTACTGCAATCACTTTTTAAATGTCCAATGCTACCTTTCTTTATGTTGCAGTGTGATTGTGTATTGCAAAGAGCCCAAGTTAATGTTTTTGTGCTTCTTGATCAACTAAATTCTGAGGAAACCACAGTAAGGCAGCTGTGACCCTGTCAGCACATATCACTGTAGCCAAGAATAGAAAACAGTACTTCATACATTTTCTTAATGAGGTGTGTGCGCGCGTGCGTGCACACACACACACACACACTTTCCTTTGGTGTGTGGGTTCTTTGACACCCAGCCAGTTAAGTCTTGCCTGTAACCCATTTTTTTTCCTTGAAAAAATAATAAATAGCCTGAGATGTATAAAAGTCCCTGAAGATCAAATGGTTTCTTCTAGAAAGTATGCCTTCTGCTGGCCACGTCTCTCCCAAAGTTGCTGGCATAGTAAACTAAAGAAAACTAGTGGAACAGCAAAATACGCTTAGTTACCAGATACTTTCAAAACCCCAAGCCCATACTCCAGAACTGCTAATATGTCCCTTGTGGAAACCTGAGCTTTTTTATGATTAGACAGCCAGAGAATAGTTTGGCTTTCTTGCAGAAGCATGATATGTTACCACCACTGCAACTCTTATCTGGTTTCTTTTGCTAAAGGTCCTGCCGCTCACTTGCCTGCTATGTGATGAGATGGAAGCCCCTTTTTTTGCTTGAACTAATGTATGTTGGGATTGGGTAACAGGTCCTAACAATTAATAGCCATTAAAGAGTTGCAGCGGCAACAGCACCTGCTGTTGATGCAGGATAATTAAAAGTAAAAAGAATTATTTGTTTAGCTACCTGGCAGCCCTAAAAGAATAAAGCAGTATAATTTTTGTAAAATAAAATTCCTAAATTCTTGTGTGTAAGACACTGGAGGTAGGGGCATCTATAACCAGGATCTCTAGCAGGCAGCTTCTCTAGCAGGCAGCTTACCTCCTGCACCTCTAGCTCCTCAGCAAGCCCAGCCCACTAAGCTCCATGGGTCAAGTACACCAGCATGGCTGCAGTACCGATCAGCATATCCCAGAGACCTGTGGACTTCTAGATGTTGCTGGGCTGCAATTCCCATCACCCCTGCTCATTCAAGCATGCTGGCTGGGGTTAACAGGAGCTACAACATTCAGAAGGCCACAGGTTCCCATTCCTTGGTGTCTGGCTTCAGAGCTAACCGCTCCAACTAATCAAACCAAAAGTGAGAGTAACATTACAGACTGTGGCTTTGCCTTGCTTCACCCCCCTGTCTTGTCTGGACTTCATCCTTGGCTTAGCTTTGACAGCATATCTGCCTCTATCCTTTTGGATTCTTATTTGCCCGAAACTTAATCATTGACATGACTCTGGGTACATTTGAGTTGTTTTTTGGGTCTCAGAACCTGACATCTACAAGGGATGCCTGCTGAGAACTGAAACAGTAGTCCTGTGAGTACATAAATATGTGACCTTTTGAGTGTGTGCTAATTAGCCCCACCCCTCAGATATGCCAGCCATGCCCTTCAATGTGACAGATGATCAGTTTAGTCTGAATTTATGCAAATAGGGCTCTCTTCATGGGGACAGGAACATGGCATTCATATACAGTACCTGTACTCAGGTAGGCCACCTTTTAGGCTAATAACTATCAAACGTTGGCTGGGCTTGTGTGGCCAACATGAATGTCAGTATCTGTGTTGGGGCTTGCCTGCATGTTTTCGATGCTGTCAGGTATTTCTGAAGGCTATACGTATCCATATTATATACTTTCTTAGAGACATGGAATGTTGTTAGCTTCATAGCTTTCACTGTAAGTGTCCCTTATTTTTATGTTGACCCTATATAGACACAGAGCCTTGAATTATTTAGCATAGATGTCTTTATAGACACCTTCTGCATAGCACCAAAGAAAAAGGTAGGCATAAAAGAAATATGGTGTTTTCAAGGGGCAAGAGAGTGAAGAAGATAGAGGAAGCATGAGATTAAAAATAGCTTTTAAAAAGTACAGTCAACAGGCTAAACTTTTTGCCATGCTGATTTATAAAGATTGTATAACTTTTTGAAGATGTACTTTCAAACCGAATAGTTGCAGTGGGATTTAAAATATGATTATTTAATTTTTAAAAATTACATAAATTAAATGAACAGCCCATTAATGGGATGCCATCAGGATCACATGGTCAATTCAGATCAAGTTATATTATCTTTCCTGCTGGAGCTGAATAAGAATTAAGAAATTACTATTCCAAAGTAGTGTTGGACATTGATCCTCATTTACAATGAAATTCATCACCATAACTATCTGGAATTCCATTGTGTTGACAGCAGCATTCCACTCAATCTTTTCTTTTACTATTAGTGAAGTGTATTAGTCGGGGAGAGTGAGACAGAGGGGTGGGGGAAGAAAACGCTGCTAATTAGTTGTTCTGCTTACATGTTAAATGAAGTCTTGTCTTATATAGACTAGGGAGGGTGGAGAAATTTGATTCAGTTATTTAAATTCACACTTTCTGAAATAAACAAAACACAGTCGTCATTCAAAATTAACACTTCTCTTAATTTTGCTATGCAGTTTACCAACCATATTATGTTCACAGAAATGCATATATTGGGGGAAAGTGTGCTTAAAAATGAATGTATATATGAAAATAATATACAAAAATGCATTCTATTAGGAAAATTGCTTGCAAAGCTGTGTACATTAGTCAAATGTGCATATAAAAAGGTGATTTGGAGAAATTTGCAGTAAAATGCTAAAGGATTTTCATGATTTTTATTTAAAAAATACTGCAAAAATGTGAAGAGCTGAATTTAAGATGAGAAAAATTAGAAACAGAAAAAATTGAAATGGACAGAATCTGCATATATGAACTTTGCCTTTGCCAGTGTATGTATGTATGTATGTATATAAAAATATTTATACACTGCTGTATCAAAAATATATAGCACAGTGGGTTGCAACAATATAAAAACATAAAACCAACAATAAAATCATAAAATGTTAAAAGCAAGTTAAAAGCAAAAACAAATTAAAGATAAACATAAGCAGACCATTGGGGGGGGTATACTCTTAACGACCTGAGTAGGCCTGACAGAAAAGTTTTCAGCAGGCATTTAAAAGTTGGTGTGGAAGGCACCTGCTGAATTTCTAATGTCAGGGTGTTCTACAGGACTGAATTTCGTGTGATTTCAGTGATCAGTCTGGAGTATAAGGTATTTTGGACCACAGTTGGTCAGGGCTTTGTAAATCAGCAAGAACCTTGAACCTGGCTTGGTAGCCAGATGGGTAGCCAGTGTCACATGTTCTCAGCCAGAAGCTCCCATCAACAACCTCACTGCAGCATTCTGCACCATCTGGAGCTTCTGAACCAGACCCACGGGCAGCCCCATATGAAGTGCCTTACAGTAGTCTAACATTGAGGTTGCTAATGCATAGATTGCAATGGTCAGGCTATCCCTGTCTAGGAACAGTCGGAGTTGGCAAACCAAACAAGGGCACTCCTAGCCACAGAGGACACTTAGGCCTCTAGGGACAAAGCTGTATCTTGGGTAATTCCCTCCCCATCCCCTGCCGCTATTGATCTCTGAAGTAAGTATCTCTTTTGCCAGTAAGATTGCAGTTCGTTTTCTAGGACAAATTACTTTTAATACATAAAGCTTGTGACTTCGTGGGTGATTATGGACTACTCCCAGTGGTTGTTTTGCCCTGCTTAGGGAGAACTACCAGGGAAAGATGATATCCAATCAAGCCAAATAATGATACTCACAGCATTGGTGCAGTTCCTGTGTGTGAAGGATTCTGAAAGGCCTCACCAGAGTTCAGTTTTTGACCCCTCCTTCATCTTCAGGAGCACATGCACATGACATACGTAAGTGAAGCCACAGCATGAAGCCATTGCAACTTATTTTATTCAGTAAAAGAGAGACTTCAGTCCTTTGCTGTCTTGTATCTATCATGGTAGAAGGCTGCCCACCACCCCCACTGCCAAATCTATGAGACACTTCTCTGAACAACCTTCAGCTCCAAATATGCCCTCTGCAGGATTTGGATGGGCCAACGAAAGATAGGGATTTGGAGTCCAGCACTAGTTTACATTGATCAATCATTCCTCCCTTCCTCCACGCAATTTATTTGTGCTCATGGGCTCCATGTATAGGGAGCGGAGGAGGCTTCAGGTCTCCTTCACTGCAGTGGAGCTGTGCACAGTGCAGCCCAGTTGAGAGGGATGGCAGGTCTCTGCAGCTGATTCCCCACTCCAAGGAAGCTGCCTTGGCAGCTCCATCACACACCCATTGGAGCCTGTTTTGGGGGGCGGGGCACCTGGTCATGCCCCCTCCAGAAAATGTGCCCAGTGGATGGTGGGCTCAGTGGGTCAGGCTGGGTTGGGGGGGGGCGTCGTGTGTGACATCATGCACATGTGATGCGCCCCTCCCAAATGTTGGGCACAACTTGGTGCACCTGTTTGTGCTTGAAATGCACAAAGGATGACAGAACATTGATGCAGAAGCCACGCTACCTATCTCAAGACATCTTGCAGAATAAAAACAATATGAAGCCCACCATAATTAATGAATGAAACATGGTGATCATAATATGACACGCATCCAGCCCATAAATATTAAAGTCCAAAATAAAATACAGCTAAAACCATCAGCCATCTAATACCAACTCAAGATAAAGCCAAAGAAAACAAGAAACTCGGAGCATTACCAGGAGGATTGAAATCTGCGTTGAAGTTGGATGCATGGAATAAAAGCCACAGTTTCAGATCTAATACAACCTATTTATTGCACCTTTACCACACGAGCTTGATACATGCATGTCATCAAGCTCACTTACCATATAAGGGCATAAGAACAGCCCTGCTGGATCAGACTAAAGGCCCAACTGTTCCAGCATCCTGTTCTTGCAGTGGTCAAGCAGATATCTGGGAAACCCACAAATGAAACTTGAGTGCAACAACATTCTCTCCTTATTCCCAGCATATGATATTCAGAGGCGTATTACCTTAGACACTAGAGATGTAACATAGCCATCATGGCAAGTAGCTATTGATAGCCTTATCCTATTTTAAAGCCATCTGAATTGATGTCTCTCACTATATCCTGCTGGACTGTATCCTTAATTCAACTATCTGCTGTGTGAAAAAGTACCTCCTTTTGTTTTTCTTGAATACAGTTCATATAAAACGAAGAACAACTTTAAATCTTGTGCATTCATGCCAACAGGAGTTAAAAAAAAAACCCACCCATTTTGTTACTCATTTTATAGGTCCTTTTCCAAATTAGCTGCTGATCACAGCTTTGCTCATTCACTAATATTGTCACTTATGAATTTGTAGGCCTTATTCAATATTATACCAGAAGCTAGTGAATATTCTTGTAACTGTCATTCGCCAGATGTTTCATCCAGTAGCATTTAACACTGATTTAGATTGATTCAGTACAAATACATTTCCTTTGAAGCTCTCCTTGGATTTTTCTTTGCTTTTTTTTAAAAAAAGAAAAACCACACACACACACCTCCCTTTCTTTCTCCCTTCCCCTTTCAATTAATGTGACAAGCAACAACCAGGGTCTTTCATTACTTATACTTGGTAACTGTGGGCAACATTTTAGTAGCATATCCATTAAAGTGAAATGAGGCACAAAGCTCAATTGTAACAATTTTAAATGCGCACCAAAGCGAAAGTAGGCCTTGCTTTGTTTTTAAGGTTATGAATGCTCACCACCCTCTTTATAGAAAATGTTGGAAGTAAAGGTAAATTTTATCCTCCATCAAAGTGCTGCAGTGACAGAGAGAGAAACCATAGAGATTCATTAGAATTCAATGCCGATCTGTTTGCACCTTTCTTGCTCCCTGTAGACAGATGGGTTTTATTCATTGGTACCTGAAAAGTGCCACTTTGCTAATATGTAAATTTTGCTAATATATAAATTTGTGTGTGTGTGTGTGTCTTCTTTGCTATAGAACATAATTATTGTAATAATTCTAGCAAAGAATGAAAGTTGAATAAAATGATGCACTTACAAGATAAGCAGCTGCTCTTACAGCTTTTTAAATCACATTTAAAGTTTGTGGGCACCCCAAAGCCTAAAGTGTGAAACATCTTACTTGCTTTCTTTGCAGAGAAGCAGAAATACTATCATTCAGAACTGACTGCACTACACAAGTCCTTCCTCTTGTCTTGCCCCCTTCTGGTCAGGAATGCACAACCAGATAAGTGACTCATACAGGTTTGAGCAAGCCACTCTTCTTACTCTTACACACTCTGGAAAGAAAGAAAAAGCTTTTTAGAAATTAGGAAAAAAAAGTGTTTCAGCAATATAAGTTTGGGAACTGTGCTAGCTCAAGGTTTTGAAGGGCTTGGTCAAGATGCCACCCATTTCTTCTTCCACCGCTTATTCACTTACTCTTGGGCAAATTTTGGCCCATGCTTTGGGACCAAATTATGAAATAGCTGGATTTGGTTAGACAACCCAAATAGACAAAAGAATGCAGAGCTGGAGACTAGATTCCCCTGATCAGCTGGGCACATAACCACAGAGAGACATGGTGGATAGATCCAGGTGTTGGGGAAATGACTGGTAGCCTTGAATAGATTGTAAATCATTATTATTGTTACATCTGTACATTTGCCATTTGAGGGTGTGCTGTCTGTTAGCAGTGTCATTCTTCAGGCTTAAGCTCCTTTTCCAGGGTCTCTAGAAGAAAAATCTCAGGGTGGGTTGATGGGTGTTTCTTGTCTCTAAATATGCACGTAGATAAATATGTGCACATGTAAGGTTCCTGCCAACCTAGCAGTTCGAAAGCACATCAAAGTGCAAGTAGATACGGTAAATAGGTACCGCTCCAGCGGGAAGGTAAACGGTGTTTCCGTGCGCTGCTCTGGTTCGCCAGAAGCGGCTTAGTCATGCTGGCCGCATGACCCGGAAGCTGTCTGCGGACAAATGCTGGCTCCCTCGGTCATGACTGGACCTAATGGTCAGGGGTCCCTTTACCTTTAAGGCTCCATGCAGTGCACAGCTTGCAATGCCCAGATACTGTGTGGATTTCAGAGGAGGGGGGAGAATACAGATAGCCCAAGTTGCCCCCAATCTCCCATATTCCTCCTTGCTCATGTGCCCTAGCCTTCACCACTCATGGGAGAGGGTTCTTCTGCACCTATTCTTTTCCCTCCTAAGATTTCCTGTGCCAGTTAATTTTGGGAGTCAGGAGGGAGCCTTCCTTGTCCTCCGCTTGCTGAAATGTAAACACCTTCTAACAGACATGGCAGGTTTTTGGCCCCTTCTCTCAGCCCTGTTGAGGTCTCCACACTTTACTGTCTCCCTGTTTTCCTGCTGTTGGTTGTTTATATCCATAGCATTACAGTCGCAGCAAGGTACCTTATGTAATTGGATTAGTGGTTCACCAGGCAGCACCACATAGGCCTTATCTAGAAAGCAGCTTTTAAGTACAACCAAAACTTACCCAAAACCTGGAGTACCTTCCGTTGCATTGTATTATCATCTCCCTGCTTACAATTGGGGTTTGGGTTGTGTGTGTGTGTGTGTGTGTGTGTGTGTGTGTGTGTTCCACAGGATAAGCTAAAGTGAAAGGGTGTTATGTGTATTAGAGTTTCATTCAGTTTTTGTAATGTCATAGCAGGAAACTGAATTTCAGTGAATGGAAATACTGTTGCCAAATGTTAACAAACAATTCCCTCAGTTTGTATGCATTGTTATAGGATCCACTGTCCTTTTCTCTTTTCACTTTTTTATATAAAAAGGGTGCCCCCCTGTTTTTCTGTACAATACACTAAGAAGATTTACAGTTTATAAAACTGGGACAGCCTGGCAGGGGACATTAGGACAGGCCTGTCCACAAACCATCTTCAGAGGATAATAATATCAGTGATAAAATGACTGCCATGACAATTGCAGAGAAAGGTGAATTGCAGTGTATGTGCAATAAACTACCTATATATATATATATGAGAGAGAAAGCGCTTTTGAGTGTTCGGTACTCATTTTCATTAAATGCAGCAAGAAACACCTCCACTAAATCCCAGTAATTTGGCTTTTGTACACGCGACCAAATTAACATAGGAAGAAATGGCATAACTAAAAGATTTGTTTTAAATATCTGCTAGCAGTGATGTGCTTTCCTAACATTTCAGTAGAAGTTAGAAGCAAAATACTGTTAACAAAACATTTCTTGCTGTTAGAGGGTCAGGTATTTTATCAGAACCCTCCCATAGATTTTGAACCATTTTCTGGTTGCCTGTTAATTGCAGCTGAATGTTACCAAGATCCCTCCTTCCCCGGTATGCCTTAGCAACTTTAAAATAGAAAGAAATGTGGTAAGTGAACATGCTTTCTGGGATGGAGATGTGTTATGGGAAAAGCTTCAGCTGGAGGATTTCTGCTTCTTGTGCAACTGTTAAAGGCACATATGTGGTGCAAAAATAAAATACACCCTATATGAATGCCATTAAATGTTATTACAGAGTAAATCAAAGAACATGCATTTATTTACATGGTATTAACTCTTATTGATTCCTACTGTACTTAGCAAAAAAAAAACTTTACTTGTTGAGTCAAAGAAAGGTGCAGCTATTAGTACCCTTATCAGTATCTTCCCTCACTGGTAAATTAGTAAGATCTTGTGGCACTGAGATGAAAAAAAACCTTTTAATCCAATCCGCTGCCTTAAAAAGCAGGAAAGAGGTACCTTATGTATGGATAAATGACTGTTAAATATAATCTCTGCCTGTCTTGCATGGTTCAATCAGTAGAATGGAAATGCAATGCCTAAATGCAAAGCATTATAATAAGGTATGTTGGTAATCGTTACAATTATATTTAGAAGTATGTAGTTCTTTGCTTTGTATTTATTGTACACTGTATGTTGATGTCTCCTGTAAGCATGCAGTTGTGGGCCCAGGCGCAGTAAGCCTCAGGTTGTTGAGGAGGGGTGAGGGGTGTGAGAAGCAGAAATGAAGACTTCACAACTTCTTGAGGTCAAAATGGCCAAAACTTTTGTTGATTACAGATGTCAGCAGTAGCGGACCTTGGGGTCTCAATTTCATTGGTCCCCTGTGTGATGCCAAAATCCAGCACCCCCTGCCTCTCACCTTCTGTTGGATGTCATAGGCGTGGTGCCCCTGCAGCACCCCAGAAACTCTGCACCCAGTCTGACTGCACCAGTAGAGCTCCCCTCAATCCATCTTTGGTGTCAGTAGGCTTTGGTATAGGCATTGGGTATGCACCCTGAATCAACCCATTTGCTGATTGATTGTTCCTTCAGGGTCAGGATCACTCTATAATATGGATCAATTCCAGGCAATCCTTCCAGGATGCCATTTGGGAAGTTCTGTGGCCCATTAACCCCCATCTGGACATTTGGACAGAATCCTTCCCCCTGGACCCCATTACCAGGGTATCCTAATACTTTGGAAGTGCATGAGGGCAGGATGCAATGCAATGCCTTTTTCTGCCACTTGAGTTTGGCCTCTCACTGGCTCTCTGCCAAACCACTAACATCTGCAACCAATCATGTAGGCCCCAGTCCATCAGCCAAGCCTCATTGCCCAATGGGCACAGATGCACTCCGTCAGGCCTAAACAGTTCAACCTTATCAAACGAGATGCCAGGGTGCCAAATCACCCGGCTCCCTGGCTGTGCCCACCGCATGCAGCACTGTTCATCTTCTTCCACGCGCTGTTTATACATGCAGGCTCCAAAGCACCCCACCATTGCTGCTGTTCCAACAACTCCAACCACAAGATGGACATCTGAGGCTGTGCTGTGTGCAGGGCCTCTAGGTCTGTGGCTGCTGTTGAGGTGAGGTTGATACCCTTCCTGCCAACTAGGTGGTTCTCTCCCAGCTGAATCGCCAAGGCATCTGGCAGCCCATGCACTGTGAAGCAAGATATAAGCCATGGCATCACGTCATCCCAATGCATGTCTCTCCAGCCCAACCATATAATATGGGTCATGTCATACAAGCTGAGCTGCTGACCCCATGAAGTAGATCTAGTGTGCACCTGGGCCCAGTGCATGATGATGTGGTTGCAGATCCATACCTTCTTATGACCGGCACCTGAGGGGAAAAAACCATCAACATGAAAGAGTGAGAACAGAGGTTCTGGTGTGAACATATTGTTTATAGACAGATGAGTGCCACCGACCCAAGGGTTTTATGCTGTTTGAGGATAAATGAAAGCCCCTATGTGGAAGAAATGAGCAGCATCTTCTAAAAGGTCCAACCCACAAGCGAAGATGGCCTTTCTTAGTACTGTCATGAATTGACCACCGGAAAGTCGACAACCATTGGCTTGCACTAGGAGCAAGCCAACGGTGACAGGCCTTGTGGCCGGGAACTTTTTAATGTCCACCACCAGACTAGGTGGTGGCAGGCCTTTGGATAGATTGTACTCCCTTTACGTAGCTGGTCAGTTATTGAGGTGCACACCCAAACTCTAAGGAAAGAGCGAGAGAAGTGATTGTTTCCTCTAGCATGAGCCCCTTAGCAGCTGTTGTTGTGAGGGGTCCGGTGGTGCATTCCCTGATGTGTAGAGCACTGAAAAATGCCAGGGAGGAGGCTGCTCAGTAATGTCTGCTCTCGTACGTACACCAACAAATGGTGCCCAGTGTCCAAACATCCCTGAGGGGAGTATACATAATTGGTTTTCTGGTGTCTGTGGCCGGGGGGTAGGGGTGAAATGTGGAAATCATTGTACAGATCAGGCAAGCACAGGCATTTATGGTAGAAAGTGATTGCGGCCACATGCAAGGCAATGATCTTGATAGCCAGACCCTTTTCCTTAAAGGAGAGAAGGCATTGCAAAACATTCTCTTCCCCAGTGTGTGTGTGTGTCCGTTCAATACATGCATACTTGCAAGTAGGACTGTAGCCTACATTCACATTTTTTAATGTTCTTAATTTTCAGTTTTCAATCAGCCGCAAGAATCTTCCTCTCATTCTTTTCATCCCCAGAGGTCCATGAAAAATAAACTTGTTGCAGTACTGGCTTTCACCTTTCCCTTGGGCATTTTATATTGTGTTTCAGAAAAACATGAACCATGGATTTTTTTTAATGTTTATTTTTTAAATATGAAACTATATGGACAGTATTATTGGTGCATTTCCTGAAATGTGTCCAGAATTCAAACCTGGAGGCTATGGAAGTGTTGGTGTGAAATTGGCCCTAGACAGTTAATAAATTCTGAGCAGAAATGCATAAATCAGCAGCGGGTATTTTTCAAACTTCTATTTTATTTTAAAGAGGGTGCATGCAAGGGAAAAAATATCTTTGGAGAATTGTTTTATATCATTTCAGAAAACAGAGGGGAAAAAGCTAGCAACAGTGCTGGTTAGCAGATTGTCATTTTTGGGTTTGATGTCCCTGGGTTTAATTGTCTTTCCTGTGAACAATGGCAGGAGCTCTCTAGTGTGCCATGTGAGCATGATAAAAGGGGGCTGTTCTTGCATAGCAATGCCTTTTTTTATTATTAGCGTAAAAAATTAGCAAGCTGGAAGTCGTTAGAAGGAGTTCCACTGGCATTAATTGTAATGCAGCCGGAATATGTTTGCAGACCAGTGCGGCAAGACAATAGCAGCAGGGGGAAAAAGCAATATTAATAGCCTTTTACTTGTTGTATCATTTTAGCAACCCCTTAATAAGGTGTCTGCTGTCAACTGGAATTTATTAAAATAAAAAAAAGACATGGTAATTGATGTATTGCAGTAAGTATGGATGAGGGCTCAACTTGATTAATGTATGAATTGGCTTTTTAAGGCATTTTAAAAAGCCTTCTTAACTGGGTCTTGAGAGATGGCACAAGCCCACTGTAAACTACCTCGCTGCAATTGGAAAACAGCCTGACAGCTGCTGATGTCTCCTGTGGTTTTGCTTCTTTTTCTTTCTTTCCTTTTTTGTTTTTTGATCAGAGAAAGTGAGGTAATACAGTCCTTGTCAATAATTGCAGTGCTTAAAAATCTTATAAAGGGATTTCTATTCTTCCCTCCAGAGAAAATTTTTCAAAGGTTAAATTAGTTTTACTTGTGTATGCTTCAAGTATCTATGGTTTTTAGAAGGATCAAGTTTTATTTTAAATCAGCTGCTAGTTTGCAAGTTGTGTTGAATTTAGCACCTTGCAGTGTTCACAGTATAAGCCTAATACTCTTTTACAAAAAAGCAGCACATTTTTAGATACAATTATTTTCATGTATGGTATTTTGCCAATATCTCTCCCCTTTTCTCCTTTTATTCAGTACAATGGTCACAAACTCTTTAATCAAACTACAGAACATCCTACTGAAATAGCCTTGTGCTGTAAGATTTAAATGATAATTTTATATGAAACTTCCTTAGGCACAGAAAAACCCACCTTCAAAAGTGCAGTCTGCTAGGGGGCTATTGGCATTAGCAAAAGGCAATTAGCTGAAAAGACATCTCTGAGAACTAGCATATGCTAGTTACTCTTTTCATGTGTGAACAAACAGTTGGGAAGTTATCCAGAGCTGGGTCAAGAGTGACAAGTCCCAATCCCTGGTGTAAGGGGTTAGAACTAATAAAAATAACAGCCTAAACATAGGAGGCCGTAAACTAAAAATATGCTTCTCAGTATGCTTGAGGCTGTATCTTTCTCACCTTGATTCTTCAGCCACTGTCAAACCTCTGAGAGTTAGCCTATTGTGTAGATGGATCAGCAACATCAAACCTACATCTGTGCATATCTTGTACCCAGGTGTTTGAGCTTGTAGCTGCCAGTCAGTTGGTGGGCAATATGTTGCAGAGAATACATGCAGATGTTATACAGAACAGTGGTTCAATCACTTTGAGTAAACTGCATTGCTTCTTACTGTTACCATGGGATAGCAGGATAATTATTTGTGAATTAAAGAAAGAGGTTTTTGGCAACCCAATCTGCATGCTTTGAAGACTGCAGTACTTGGACTGAAGCCTACATGCATGCCCATTACTTGGTTTCGTTACAGTTGATTAGTGCACATTTGATGAAAGTCAGCTTAATGTGGACCTCATTCAGGAAAGGGCTGTGCCTTATTGGTAGAGCATAGGCATTGCATGCAAAAGGTTCAACATTCAATTCCTGACATTCCCAGTTGGGGTTGGAGAGACACCTTTCTGAAACCTGAAAGGGCTACTCCATGTTAGTGTTGACAGTACTGATTTAGATGGACAAATAGTCTGACTCAGTAGAAGGCAGCTTGCAGTGTTCCTAATGGATCAAAGGCAGGACTTCTGAACCCTTCTAAAATATTAGTGGCTAATTACATGTTACACAAGAGAACATGGAATGGAGGGCTGGTGCTCCCCCCCCCCAAAAAAACCCCCTAAAAGTATGGCAGTTTTGAGTAGAGAAACAATCAGTACCCTACTACTTTTCCACTCAAATAATTCACTTGCTGAAGCTCTTTATTTTAAAAGAAATAAACTATTTTCCCCTTTCTAACATCTACTTTTCTTTATATCTGGTGGCACAGAATGGTTACTATACCCCAGGTGTGGGAACCCTTTGAACCACCAGATGTTGCTGAACTACAACT